CCCGGCAGGGAGGCTTCCTTGCCAGCAGCCACTTTTACTGGCCTTCTCTGGGGAGTTCACTAGCACGGTCACTAACATGGTCACCAGGGGAAAGGAGCAGAATTTGACCGAACTGCGGGACCCCTCTCTCCCCAGGACGCGTTATGTCCGGAGTTTATCACTCGTCTTATTCTTCTGCTGCAATCGTTAAAGAAGTAATGAAACAACCGCTGGAGGAAGCCAGCACAGGAATTGTTCTTTCCCACAAAGAAATGTGGCAAACCAAAGCCAACGGCGCGCAAGAGGTTGGTGCAACGCAACTCCTGACTTTGGGTTTCAAAATTTTTGCTGAAGTTTAGAGGTCTTCTTAGTGACGCTCCGAGTTTTGTGCTTGTGACAGAAGTAGAAACACAAAAGGCTGCAAAATTCCGGATCTGGGGCTGGATTTGATAAGGTGCAAAAAGTTAGTACAGGCTTTGGAAATGCTGGGGTGGCACGTGCATTGGGGTGGGTTGGATTTGGGGCCGGTTTTCTCAAACACCTGGAGAACGGGCAGATCCAGCCTTTTGCTTTGCATGTGTCTTTGATGCCAGTTACACAGACGGGTGAAATCTGTGCAGTACAGGTACTCCGTTGCATGACCCTGGGCAAAATGATGGAGCTCTGCATTGGGATTTTTGGAGCCTAAGTCAAAACAGCAGAGTTCCCCTCAGCGTAAGGGAGAAGGCGCGTTGCGGAGACTGAGAAGAGAACAGACATGGGTGCCGGACTCTGCAGGACAAGCTCTGAGCTCCAGTGGGGTGTGAGGGCGAGTCAGTTTGGCAGCTGGGTTGCAGGGGAACAGCACAGCCTGCGTGGGACATGGCACAGGGCGATCGCTTTCCTCCCTTTCCTGCACGTTCGGTGTGCTTCGCCCAACCGCTGGCGATGGGCTGGAGATACCGAGGCAAGAGAGATGCTCTCCGGCGAGGAACAAAAGCCATAAATGACAGCACGGGGCAGTGTCAGTGCCAGCGCATCTTAATCTTCCCTGTGTTAAGCTGATTCTCCTTTCAAAGGAGTAGAGGCAGGTGACCACAAACCAGAAGAGGATTAATCAGAGGATCCACTAATTGATTCAGTAATCCACTAAGCAGAGGATTTTTAAACCCTTTTGAGCAATATAAGGTCACTGGGCAGCGGCGCTGGTTATTTTTTAGCCCACGTGTTGTCCTGTAGAACGTCAGGGCTTTGTGCAAGAGCCCCAGCACAACCGCATCCCTCGGGCTGGAGGATGGAGGCCAGGGGGAACCCCAGCACCGACGGGGGAACCCCAGCACCACCGACCTCTGTCACCTTGGGGCCTGGGGCGTGCGTGGGGCTGTGGATGGACCCGTGGGTGCCCCAGAAGAGGAGGTTGCCCATGTCTGTGGGTATACCTGCAGCAAGAGGGAAAACCCACGGTGCCCACTGAGGCTGCCTGGGAGAAGCGTTGCCCTCCCCGGGGAAGGGGTCTGGCTCCTGCGATTCGGGCAGGGAGCACAAGCAGGGACATAACACAGCTCCTCTCATCAAAAAAATGTTTTTTATTAATGCATTGGGGAAAAAAAAAAAGCAAGCCCAGTTCTTTCCCTTTGGTGACCTTTAACAGAAATGTGAGAAATGCATTCAAGGGGGGCTTGGCTGGGTCTGGTTATGGTGTAGGTGCTCGGTTTGCCGAGATCACCTGAACTGTAACACATCTGGTTTTCCAGGTGCCCTCCTCTCTGGGTGATCTGTATATTAAAGCCAGCACGCGTACTTTGCCTCTGAGGATCATAAGGAAAAGAAATCTTCTTTTTTTCCCCGCTTCTGTGTTTGAACCTTTCATGGCAGCTTTTCCGTGAGCCTGGGAGAAGGGCGTGAGGTGGCCTTGCCCTGTGCAGCCGTGGTTAATGGGTGGGAATCACTCGACAGGTTAGGCAGCCATCAGAAGCTGTATACACACACACACACACACACATATATATAGACAGCTTTTTCCTGGTTATGTACACTTTAAATAAAACTTATGTTAAATAGCAGGGCATGACTTTGTATCTCAAAACCTATTGCAACAGAAGAACCCCAGGGAAACCCTCTCCGAAGAGCTTCCCCATCGTGTGCAGCAGGCGTGGGGATGGGAGCAGCATCCTCTAGTCCCTGACGGACCCGCTTTCGGAGGGCAGCCCTTCAGACTTCCTCCACTCTGCCAGGCGCTGCTTGAACCATTTCTGGAGAAAAAAAGAAAACAGAGATTGAGTGCACTGGGCTGAGCAAAGCCTCCGACTAACCTCGCTAAGGGTGCAGATGTGGTCAGCACGTGGGACCAGGCGAGGGAAACTCCTGGTGCGGTTCTGCAGCGAGGCACTGCACTGTTCCCAGGCCGTAGGGGCAGCAGGACAGCCGCTCCTGACCGAACGGTCGTGTTACCTACGTGGGCACCTCTCTCAAACTCATTTCTCTTCCTCGCTTCAGACCGTGACAGCGTGGGTGACTCCTCCTTTTATTGCTGTGAGTTCGGGGGGTTTTTTTTGCAAACGGAGTAAGAGCTTGGTGAAGGAGCTGCTGGATGGTGTCTGTTTAAATGGCTGGAGCAGTGACACAATCACTGCAGGTCTAAAAATGACAGGCATCAAAAGTTGACGTGCTCCAGAAAGGACGAGAGGGACAGCACGGTGGCTCTCAACAAATTTAAGAATAGATTTAAAAAATGGGTTAAATAGTATCTTAATCTTCAAGTAATGTGCATGGCTACGTTATCCTGTAGTCGCTTAGCATCTCTAAGCCGACTCCCGTAGCTGCTGATGCCCCTTCGCCACGGCCGCAGTTTCAAATGTTAGAGAACACGCAGGTCCCTGAGACGAGAGCTGTCACTCGTGTCCTCGAAGCACAGCTCGGCCTTTGGTTTGGGAACGTGCCCGTGATTTGCTTTGTTGCTGCTATATTTGTTCGTGGCTATTTTTGAAGCCGTTGTGGTCCGTAACGATACAACCACGGCGCTCTCACAAGAGGCTCTCGCGGTAGCTCTGCCTTGGACCGCAGCCCCTCAGATGATGGCCCGCCGAGCCTCCTCCCCAAAATTTCGCTTCCTGTCCTAAACCATCGTCTCCTGTTGACTCAGTACCTCTTTGCGTCTCATTTTTACTAAATTTTTTATTAAAATGGCTGCTATATCTGGCCAATAAAGCACTCCAGCCGTCAGGAGCAATGATTCTCTGTGTGATACGCAATGCAGGCACTTTGCAGCTCCATCCCAGTCTCGATCTTGTCCCTAACATGACCTTCATCTCCAGATCTCTAGGAGCACCCTGGATTCACGGAAAAAGATGGCCATCAGGGAAGATTTTAAGACATTTCTGGAGGTGTCCTGGGCATATATGGCCTGTGTTTACAACTTGCTTTAGGGGAAAAAAAAGGGAGCAGTGCCATTTCTAAGGAGGAAAAGGTATTTCAGGGGTACAGCCTCCTTGCCCCCTCAAAGACGGAGGTGCCTGCTGCCTGTCACCAGAGCACAGCAGAGGAGGGGGCTCCTTTTCCACCCCAGCCAAGGCCCAGCACTGCGATGGGTGTCACACCGGCGTCCTTCCCTGCGACGGGCTCGGCGCCGGCATCGCCTGCTCGGCTCTCCTGTCCCTTTGCCTTTTCCCAGGGAGAGCCAGGCTTGGCAGCTCTCTGCAAAATGCTGCTAACTTTTCGGTGGGCTGGCTTTCTTTTCTATACCCGTCGATGCTGCTGTGGGTCTGGTAGCTTCTAAAACACCTGCGTCAAAAACGCCTG